AGGTTTATTCCCGATTTCGGTGACAATATGATGATGGTGGAGTAGCGTTCAACTGCATTTTTCTGTTATTCATGAACCTCATGTCATGTTCTTCTAGATGCTAATCTTCAAATTTAATACCAGGTGCAGTTTTAGTTCTTATTACCACTGCATTTTGTTCATAGGTTTAATGAAAGTTTCTTCACTCTTTGCATTTTTGTTTTCTTTGCAAGCTTGTCGTGGGGCTGTGGAATGTCTGAAACTCCGCTTCCTAGTACTTCTGCATCAAGTTTAGTAGGCACAGCCTTTTCTTCTCAGGAGCTTGCTAAGGTAGATCCAGTGACCAGAAAGATTCTGCAGACCTAGGCAAACACATTTGTTGTTTCTGGTTTAAGATGGAGGGTCATTTCAGTCTAGGTCATTGTTTATATGTTAACTGAAATAAAACCCAGGCATAGCTGTTGAGTCAAAGGAGAATTTACTTTGAGCTTTATTGGCTGTAGCAGTTTATATATACTGAGACAATCATCTCCCATATGAAGTATTCACAATGTGTGGCTTGACAATGAGGTTTGACAACTTCCAATACATATTTAAGTATTACATTGGCTTATATTTAATATTTGAGTCATAACAAAAGACCTCTAGTTTAAGCATTCAGTGCCATAGGCTGATCTTTCAGTACTGTCATGTCTGTGGTTATTGAGGAGCTTTGATTTCTGACACCAAGTGAATTGGACATCAAGGAGTATCTCAGTAGCATGCCAAGGATTGTGAAAGTTATTTAGAAGACTGAACAACTAGAGAAGGCAGAAGAAGAAAGGAAATTTCTTTATGAACGATGATTGGAGTGAAAATGGCTCCTAAGCAGGTGGTAGGATGAGTGAGTGAGTCATGGTTTAATGGTGGTAGGAAGCATGTTTTTAAAGCCAGTGTGACATGCCATATACTTGACAACTCTGGATCAGCACGAATGTCTAGTGCTGTCTGCCAAAACATTTTGTTCAGGTTCTAGGTGGATTAGAAATGAGAAATATTGTCATTTATGCCTCTTAATTTTATAAAATGGTATTGTCTGTTGGATATGTTGTAACTTCCTTGTCATCAGAGCCCCTGCAGCTGTTCACAATAGGAGTAAAGGACTTTAGCATATATCTGGTTATTAATTACTCATTTAAGAGTCTGTTGTCTCCTTGACTACAGTATCAAAAGTTATTTAGACTTGATGATAGGTAGTTCAGACTGTCTGTTGTCTTTAGAAAAGAATCTTGGTATTGCACTGAAGAATCCCTTTCAACAAAAGCACCAGATGTGATATCAATACCGTGGGGCTATTTATTTTTACTCCATATGACACAAATGTCAGTCTGTCTCTTTTTATCACAAGGTTCAGTTGATTCTGCAGTGGGTTTTTTTGTTTGAGTGTTTGTGGTTTTGGGTTGTGTGTTTTTTTTTTTTTTTTTTTTTTGCTATTACAGTCTTTTCAATCTAAAGACTGTATTAACTGATATGGCATTATATTCCACAATCTCCTCTTCTTTTGAATTGCTGGAGAATTAGAACTGACATTTTGCTAGCTGAAGTTTTTTTTTGTGCCTGAATAGTTACCAAACATGAACCTACAATTAATGATAGTGGCACTTTTTGAACAGCTAGGAGAAGTTTCATATACCATATTTGGATTGGCTGAAGAAACCTGCTGATCTTGAAATTTTGGAAGATTAAACTGATCTAATACTTAGCTTTTGCTTTAGCAGTTAGGTAACTAATGTGCTGATACCAATCATTCTCTTGTATTTCTAGTGTCAAAAGCTTTGAGTCCTGTCTACAAATTTATTGCAGTCTGCAATAGTATGAACTTGCAATTTTTTGTTGACACAGAAATCTTCAGCAAACTGAAAATTTAGGAAAACAGTAAAACTGAGTTAATTTTAAAACAAAGCAAGGGATACTGGCCTGACTGGGAATGTGGAGACCTGTATCTGAACTTATTTGAAGCTCTGCAGAGTTTCCATTTGTCATGTAAAGCAGCATAATGGTGAACTTTAAACTCAGTTTGCAACAGAGAAGGCAAGGCTGTGCTTACTGGCTTAACATTGAAACTGTAAGTACGGTAGTGTAAATGCTTTCTAGAGTTTTCCTTTTGACTAAAAGTGTTTCTACTGTTCCTCCTTTATTACCCATCACTTCCTTCTTGCAGTCTCCTTTTCCTTGCCATTAGCTTCTGCATATTGTACACTCTTGGTACTGGGAGCTCCTAAAAAACTTTCGCTAGCCTTATCTACTGAGTGCTATTCATTGCTTGAGACTGACCTTAGTGTCTGCAGAGTTGTTTTCACATACTCTCACTCCTCTGGCTGCAAACGCTGCGTGCTGTGTTTTCCCCCCCCTTTTTAAATATGTTATCACAGAGGCGCTGCTACCATCGCTGATGGGCTCGGCCTTGGCCAGCGGCAGGTCTATCTTGGAGCCGACTGGCATTGCCTCTATCAGACACAGGGGAAGCTTCTAGCAACTTCTCACAGAAGTCACCCCTGTAACCCCCACCACTACCAAAACCTTGCCACACGAACCCAGTACAATTATATATGTTGAAGATGAAGGGTATGCAAATGGTCAGTAATCATGGCTTAACTGTGGAGTTGAATGAAGAGCTAAATGAGTTTAATGGAGTTGAAGTTCCAGAGGGAGGTTTTTTGTCTTTTGGGCTTATTGGTTGGTTGTTTGTTTGTTTTTTTAGCCGCCTCTTAGTGGGAGTCAGTTGGAAAGAGCATTCCCTAGAAGCTGAAATTTCATTAAATTATTATAATCTTAATCCATATCCTGCAAACAATGTAGAAATCTAAAGCTGAAAGCATCTTTAGATCTTAGAAGACACCTGAAATTATTATGTAGAAAATTAACTGCTTTCAATGAAAAGTAAGGAAGTAAGTTCAGAATTGCATATTTCTGAGTGCATGTTTTTGAAAATGCCACAATTTTGCTTAATATTAGACATTAGCCTTTGTATCCTGAAATGAAGCTGACAGAGGGCAAACTTGTTGCAAGAAGGAAAGTGGTTTGCCTATGCATGTACATAAAGGAGGAGGAGTAATGTAAAAAAAAAAAATCTAATTCATTCTATGTTTATGTGCACAGTAGATGCTGCATGTTCTTCTCTTTGCTTTTCTGCAACATTTGTAAATTAATGTGAAGGGACCTTGGTGTTGAAATAGGTACAGTAGCTTAAATCTGGAAAATACCTAATGAAATCTTTCTCCTTCCTTCCCAAAACTCAAGGATTTAAGTTTTCAGAAGTAATTTTATGTAACCAACTTGAGACACTTAAAGGGGGCCTGATTTTTAGGAAGTGATGAACCACTCAAAAGTAGTCTTAGTTTGACTTGATGAAAAATGGTTGCAGCATCCATATGGGTAAGTTCTAAATCACTTGCTGTTTAACAGTGTTAAATAGAATTGTAAAAAAAAATCAGGGAGTGCTTTTTGTAGTGTTCACCATAGCTTCCTTCTGCACGGTGGTGAGATGCTTGTTTTCTGTGGCAGGCAGACTATGCTTTTCAGTCTCAGATGTGCTTTTCCAACTGTTGAGCAGACACATACTGTTAAAGAATCCACCTCCTATGAAAAACAGTAAGCACAGTCTCAGTATTTGTTGATTATGGAGAAAATGAAGATATAGCTGATTTAAAACATCATTTCAACCCCACTTGTTCTGGATATTATCTTTGTAGGAGATATTGAGAAGCCAATGGGGTTATTGAAGATTTAAAAGAAAATTGTAGTATGTCAGGCTGCATTTGATTTTAAACTATGCTTTAATGGGTCATAAACTAGTGTCTTCAAGTTTAGTAGTTTTACATTTTCACCTAGGTGGGGATTGTCCCTTTTTTTTTTTGTGGTGGAATGTGACCTTTTGCATAGCTGTAATGTGATATTCCAAGCAAAGCATTTCCAGTCATATTTAGTACATACATGCAAAAGTAGACCATGCAATATTTACTTTTTAATGTGCTAAATTTTCTTGTCCTCTGGAAACAGTTGGATGATTTAGATGGGTATTTAACAAGTGAGTGAAGGATGACACCAAACTGCAGTGCCCATGAAGTGTCTGGGACTTGTGGATTTACTGGGACCTTTGCTTAAAAATCATTTAGACTGAGGAAAACAGTTGTTAATTCATAAAAATGCTAATCAATGACTTACAGAATGGTTGCATGGGTTACTGAGTCACAAACTGTGGCCTCTGCAGGCTAATTTGGTTTATCTTTGTATGTACTTATTTATAGCCTCAGGTCATAAGAACTCTGCATGTGCCGTAAATAGACATGATCACTTAATATATGTATTACTATATCACGCTCCTGGCCATGATACAGGGATTTTTGTTTGGTTTTAAGTGGTCAAGGGGAAAAATGTCCATTAGAACAAATGTGAGAAGTTGCTCTAATTTGAGCATCATCTGGCTCTGGCACTTTATATTGTACAGAATAAACTTAGTTGTTACGCAGAGTTTGGTGCTGTTCCGGAAATGCTGTTATTCATCTTTTTCTCCTTTAGGCACACCTCATCATTATCCAAAAGTCAGAAAGCTACTTTATTTTTTTCCACCCAGCCATTCAGTTTGGACTGTTTCTATCTCTGCCCAGATTTTCAAAGTTGAATATTTAAACAAGATGTTGGTGATTTGGCTTAATTTTTTTTTTTCTTCCTTCCTCCTAATCAGTTGGGAAGCTACAGTCAAGTTTGGCAGACCTTTGAAGATTGTAATTAAAATGTCAAAATAAGGAGGGGTTTTTATGGCTCTTAATTCTCAAGTTAGAACTGTCTTGTCTTTTCTGCTCTTCTTTAATTCTAATAAAGTACAGCTTTTTCACATGGCATTTCTGACATCTTAATTGCAACATGATGGTTTGGAAAATGGAAAACAATTATTATACAATTACTCAAATTATGTACAGTTTTAATGGTTATTTCTAATAAAGTTGATATGAAGTACTGCCCTCAGAGCCTCAAGATTGATACAGGTGGGACTGTCATTATGGGGGAGAACAGGAAACTAACACATTCATTTCTTGTAGGCCTGAGGATACGCTTCTCTCCATAGGTAAAGACTTAGGTTCCCATCCTGTTGTTACTGATCTTACCTTTTTCCATATTTCAGGTCAGCCAGAACAATATTACCATGATGTCATCCCCATCTCCTGTCCAACAAGCTCAAACACCCCAATCAATGCCTCCACCACCACAGCCACAGCCATCTCCTCAGCCAGGCCAGCCAACTTCTCAGCCAAATTCAAATGTCAGGTGAGCGAGACTGCAACTTTTGAGGACCTTTATCAGTGCTCTAAGGGTGAGGTTTTCAGAAGCATTCAATATATTTTGCTCTGTTTCAATTGAAGTGAATGAATTTTAACATGAACTTCAGTGAGAGCACAGGTGGCATTGTGCCGAATACACTCTGAAAACCCCCATTTTAAATAAAGAAGCTCTGTACGAAATCCTCACTGAGACTACTGGCAGAGTTAGAGTGCCATAGCAATGCTTACTAAAAGCATATCTGCTTGCAGGTTGATCGTGCTTCCTTGTCAGATCCTGGCAGGTTTGATTTTATGCTTATTTTTCAGCTCTGGCCCAGCTCCATCACCCAGCAGCTTTCTCCCCAGTCCATCTCCACAACCATCCCAGAGCCCAGCAGCTGCACGAACACCTCAGAACTTTAGTGTCCCATCCCCAGGTCCTTTAAACACTCCAGGTAAACGATCTGAGAACTATACTGCACACTGTGAGTTGGGGTATGTTTTGGTAACTGTAAGTTTCCAGGAAACCTGTTATTGTTTGTCACGATGTAAACTTTTAAAGAGCTCTACAAAGCAGCCAGCATTGCAAGTAGTGAATGTCACATGCACTACATAACACAACATGTATATCCCAAATCAAAATCAATTAAAACCTTTTTTCTCATCAGTGAACTACGTAATGAGGTTTTTCCCCAATCTTTTGAAAAAAAGAATGATACTTAATTTAATGGAGCCAGTTTATAGAGGCATCATGATTCCTTAGTTCCATGCAGGAAGGAACCCCTAGCGACAGCATGCAATTGTAAAGGACGTACCCACTTAATCACAGGTGGCAGGCTGCTTTGCTTCATAACTCCTTCCTAGGTGTACTCTGACACTTGGGCTCTTCTCTCTCCCAGATGCAATAAGCAGTTTCTGATACTGTGAATGGAAGTAACATACTGGCTTCCTCCTTATACCAGTGTTTGTGTGCTCTGCAGTTTGGAAAGCATCGACTTAAGGAAAACTGCAGCAAATTCAGTGTATTGATTTAGTGTTTAATGCACCAGAGTGAAGGCAAAATGAGGACCTAGAAAATGGGTATATGAATCTTTGGACCTTTTCAGAAAAAAATTGTATTACATGGGAATTGCTGTTCTGTCCACAGAACACATTATTTCTACACAAAGATTAGAGAGTTGGACAAGCACGTAAACTGTGGAGGGCATCCGCGTGTGGATTTGGATATTTGACATGAGCTACACTTTGAGAGTGCCACATTTCAGATCTAGGTTCTGAAATGTGAAAATGCTGTTCTGCAGTATCTTTTGTCATCCCTGTGACATGCAGTCTTTACTTTCTTGCCAGGAAATCCAAATTCTGTCATGAGTCCAGCCAGTTCTAGCCAGTCAGAGGAGCAACAGTATCTGGAGAAACTCAAACAGCTATCAAAATACATTGAGCCCCTCCGGAGGATGATCAATAAAATAGATAAAAATGAAGGTGATGTTCCCTATATTTAGTCACACATTTCTCTCTGTCAGCTGTCTCTTCTGATGAAAGGAGAAGTACCTTGCCTTACGTGATGGGTTCTATTCCAGGGACTAAAAATGACAGTGAAAGTTAGTTGCTCTTTCTTTCCTATGACTGAAAAGATTTTACTGTGAAGAGTGGGTAAAATCCTCATCCTTAAATTCCTATCAGTTTTCCTTTACTTCTGATGTTTTTGAGACATGTAGAACTTATGCAATATATATACTTACAATTAGATGGAAGTTCTTTGATCCTCACTCCTTTCTTCAATGTTGGGTCATTTTTTTCACTTTTAACAGTACACTGTATTTCTGTCTGCAAGTATGGAAACTATTCTTGTAGTCAGTGTTTGTGTCTCTGATACTATTTCAGACAGGAAGAAGGACCTGAGTAAAATGAAGAGTCTCTTAGATATCCTGACTGACCCTTCAAAACGGTAACTCTTTTTTGTTTTGGCTGGACATCAGATTCCCCAACTTTTTCTGAAATTTGTCACTTAACATCCAGCCATGTTGGCACTGAAGCTGTCTTGTGGGGCTCAGACTGCAGAAACACTTCATCTGAGGTGACCGTTTTGTGGTGATGAAATTGCTCTTCTTCTGCAGGTGCCCTCTGAAGACGCTGCAGAAATGCGAAATTGCTCTGGAGAAGCTTAAAAATGATATGGCTGTGGTACGTGATGGTTTGCACTAGCAAGAGATAAGCAATTAATTCCAAAAGGTCTTATGATTTGGAAAGATAATTTTTTGCATTTCTTGTTGCTTGTGCTGTTAAGACTTCAAGTAAGGTTGGACAAAGTAAGAAAACAGGAAAAAATGTGCAAGCATTTACTTCATGTAAGTCACCTGTACGTATCTTTTAACTGAACTTTAAAACTCTTGTGCTTTGAGCAGAGACTTGAGTAATTATTTCTATGAATTTTGGAAATTATTTCAGGACTTCCTAAATGAAAGCTGCGGACTGCCTTTTTTTTTTTTTAATATTACTGTATGCAGTCTTGAGAATCCTTTGCATTCCATGCATTGGAAGTTTACTGCTATAAAATTTTGCAGAATCAATAGTAGAGAGATCTTTTTTTTTTTTTTGTGATGATTAAAAGAAAAGGGGCTTATCTTGTGTTTTAGCCTACTCCACCGCCTCCCCCAGTGCCACCCACCAAACAGCAGTACTTGTGTCAGCCACTTTTGGATGCTGTTTTGGCCAACATCCGTTCACCAGTCTTCAACCATTCCCTTTACCGTACATTTATGCCAGCTATGACTGCAATACATGGACCACCGATCACGTATGTATCATTGACCTGCTGTCTGTCTTAAATGTTCATTATTTAAGGAAAAAAATACTTATTTGTAGAAACTATTAAAAGAACGGATGGGTTTGTGGATGGTGTTGAGTTATACCTTTCCTTTTTACAGCTGTAAAATATTTGACACTTGATGTTGGCATAACGTTTTCATCTAGTCCTTCTGTGGACTGTATTTTACATAGGGCCCCAGTTGCTTCACCTCGAAAACGGAAATATGAAGAGGATGAAAGACAGACCATACCAAATGTCTTACAAGGGGAAGTTGCAAGATTAAATCCTAAATTCCTGGTGAACCTGGACCCTTCCCACTGCAGTAATAATGGCACAGTTCATCTCATATGCAAGCTAGGTAAGCAAGAAGAAACTAAGGGCTGAATTCAGAAAGAAGTGCTGAGCTTGACTGTAGAAATTTGAAGAGTTTTTTGCTAACAGTCTTTACTCTTGCCAACCTGTGACTTCTGGTAACCACAGACTTCATGCAGATTCATAGCACTGCTTAATCATGACATTCTGCACAAGCTGCTTCAGGGTACACCTGGATCATTCACACTGATTGATCCTTTCTTTGCGCTGGAGTTGCAATTGGTAATCTCATTTAGTGTCTAGAACATTAGTTGTTGCTAGCAACAGTCGTGATGCCTGATTTGACCTGTACTGATACGTGAGAATTGTTCTACCTCCAACAACTAGGACAGAGCTAGAGAAACATTGAGTTAATTTTTGGGAGGGTCAATTTCAATTTGTACTAATGATCGCTGACAGTGGTGTATGTTCAAGAAAGAAAATTCAGATTGCATCTTTTTTGTCTCAGCTGAATAAGCATAAAGTATTATAGTCTATCAACTTGTTTTGCTCTTGGATTCCAATGGGGAAAATAGATTCTTTCTCCCTCTATCTGAGAAATCTGAACTCTTTTTGTCCTGAATAATAGTATGTAAAGCACTTAATTTTCAAAAATGAGATGTCTAACTAGATGTGAAGTTCAGCTGATAAAATGGTGAGATTGGCAAAGTGCAGAAATGTGTAAGAGATTGATCTATGTTTGCCAGGCTTTTCTTCCAAAAATTTAAGTGTGTTGTTATAGTAAACAATGAGATTGCCTTCCAAGAAAAATGGAGATGAACAGCCTGGTTCCTCCTTGGGGTTCAGAGGCTAGAAACCAAGCTGAATTATGCACAGAAAACCCTCTCCATCCAGCAAGGAATGCTTTGTTCTGATGGACGTGTGTTTGTGTTCTAGATGACAAGAATCTTCCAAATGTCCCACCACTGCAGCTGAGTGTTCCAGCGGACTATCCAGACCAGAGCCCTCTGTGGATAAAAAATCCTAGACAGTATGGTATGAGGATGCTAGCATGACATTTTTTGGGCATGTGTATGTGGTAATAGTGGGGAAATAGGAATACCTAATGATACTCTTTATTTTTTAATTTTTATTATAACTCCATTTATCTGTTACCTTTTTTTTCCAGCAGCCAATCCCTTTTTGCAGTCAGTGTATCGGTACATGACTTCAAAACTATTGCAACTTCCAGACAAGCATTCGGTCACGGCACTCTTAAACACCTGGGCACAAAGTATTCGTCAGGCCTGCCTCTCTGCTGCATAACATCTCACTTTCTAAGTCATGAAGCAAGCAAGAAAGTCTCAACAGCTGGCTTTTTCCCCATGCCACTGGAAAAATCACATTTTGGGGAGAGTACTTCAGAAGAAAAAAGCCTTATGTTGTTTTGTTTCTAGGTGTCAGGTTCAGTAGAGAACCTGATGTTAGATTTAGCTTTCATGCTTTTTATCTTCTGCCTCTGTGGACTTTTGCCAGCATTTTCAAATATACAAAATGTGTATATATGGTTCTTGAGACTGTACTAGGATGATGAGTTTTTTATTGTCTTCTTAGAGAAGAAATTATTTGTGGACTTCCATCAGGGAGTCTGGTATAAGAGGGAGTAGGGAGAGACTGTCCTAATTTGCTTCAAAGTTTGCTCAGTGCCAGTATTCCTTTCACACTGTATGTTTTGTGACCTGATACTGTCCCAGAAATAAATTAGCTGCAACTAGAATGTGCTTGCAAACTTCTCGGTGGTTGCAGGAATCTTTTTTCCCTGTTGGCTTTGTCCAGAGATAGGATAAATTACAGCCTTTTAAGGCATCCCTCAAATATGTGAAATAAATCTGCATAATTATACTTGGGGGCAGAACCGAATAGAGCAAAAAAATTGTTTTATAGCTTATTTTAAACGCTACTTTGTATAAATGGTTTTTGGTTAGCATGGACCACATCTTTCTCACTCCAAAAGAGTGAGGTGATTAGAAATAAGAGAGATTAATGTGCACACTGACTTCCTCTATAAATGCAGTAAATGTGTACGTAAAGGTGTGGGGGGGGAACCCAACAGTATAAAGCCCTAGTAACACAAATCAATCCAGCAGGCTTGTAGCTACATTTCTTCGCTTCCTTTGGGAATTGATGCAGTTCAGTGACAATGCTTCTATGCTACATCAGTTTGTTTAAAAACAAAAGGAAAAAAAAAGTAGCTCAGGTGTGGAACTGCAACTAATATTTTGTGCCTTGAGCAGTGATGGGCACTCAAGTCCTTATTGTTGGGCACTCTAATGAAAACATTTGCCACAAGTAACTCTGACTTCATGCATAGTGTGAGCATTTTATTTTCCCTGTGCTTATAAGTTGCTCACTCTTAATTTCCTGATGCAGAATAATTTCAAATTTCGGATGTTCCTGTTATATCCTGCTCCATCTTCCTGTATTGTGCAGCAAACCTTAAAGAGTAGCTGGGCTGTCTTACAGTAGTGTCAAGAAATTGCTATGACCTTCGTAAATCTGTGTGGTATCATCAGTTTTAGGATGTTTTTAAATGTGGGTACTTAGTAAGCACTGACTGAGGTGACAGAATGCTGTCAGTATTTTGTACATTAATTAATGCATTATCTGTTTGTTTCTATTGTAATAAATTTATTCTTATTCCTGTGTTGGATGCTAACACTATACTGCTCTTCCCATGTTGAACCTTAGACACTTGTTCTGTTGGGTCCATTGGATGATGGTTACTTTGTTCTATGGTAAGTGAAAACTCACAGGCTTTGAAGGTTAGGGGAGGAAATCATAAATGGTTCTTTTTCCCATGCAACACTATCTCTACTGTCCTTATAGTGAATGGGAAGACCTGGTCAAGAGATTAGTAATGGTATCTATAAATGAAAGATGTGGATTCCTAACTGGTACTGTTACATGGCTGACTCTTTCCTTAGGGCAAAAGAACCAGTGGCACCAATACAGTTTGTAATACATCATGTATTAGGTTATGGCTTAATTAGTATAGAAATGGGGGCAGGGTGTGTGTGTGTTTAAAGATGTTGCTAGGGTCTAACACTGAGACACTTACAGCACCTATTTCTTAACAATTTGGTTAAAACATATATGGAAATAGATGCAAAACATGGATGTCCCTCAGATTTAAAATACCTTTTCTAGTGCAGTTTTCAGAGCTGTCACTGCAGTACCTCTCAGTTTTCCTTCAAATGAGATGTTAGACTAAGAGGGTGGGGTAGGCATCCTGACATAAAGCAGCTTCTCAGTTGGGAAATAAATGATGAAAACTGGAAGTGGGTCATGGACCCACAACATGTCACATTAATAGCTGTGTATCACATAGCTGCCTTCCTTCTCTGTTGATGGACAAACTGTCATAAGCTGCTTATAGATCTTGCTAAAATAAAAAATAGCAGCTTATTCCCAAATCCTTGAAAAGTTGCACCAAAGTGGGAGTAAATTAGTATTAATGTTTGGGTACTTTACTACCTTTTGGGGAATTAAAAGTGAATTCAGAAAATGCCCCCATTATGTAAAATTCAGGGCTTTTGTGTCTTTCAGAAATACACAAATCTGTTATGAAATCAGAAACACGCAAGTCTGATCCTTCCCTTTCTTGAACAAATGGCGTACAAAATTAATTCATAATCAGCTTTTACTTGAAATGAGGTGACAATAGCAGCTGAAGAATCTATCATGAAACTTCAATGTGAATGTTCAAAGCAGTAATAAGGAAACGAGAACGAAGGATGTTAAATGAAAGTGTTCTTCACTAGTGTTTGTTTCAGTGGTGGCAAAACTGCCTTTTTTTTAATAACAGGCACTGGTGTGGCAATCAGACTGCAGAGAGGAATGCAGCAAATCAATGTTACCGTGATTACTTTTCCTAATTGAAAGAGAAGTTGTTGCAGATATTGGGTTAGTTTTACTGCCCTACTGGTGAGCTCTGTGATTGTGTGGTGGACTGTCCTGTCTGGCTGATCAGATTTTAATCTTCAGTGAGAACTTATTCCCCCAAAGTTTTGGTATTTTGAATGAATTACTGTTTTTCTTTATGGAACAAGGATATTGTGGGAATGGCTGTTCCTCTGTTTTTCCTTGTTTTAACTTGTTATCTGAGGCATAGCTTTTATGCGCTAAAGTCTAGCTGTGTATCTGTGCGATATGAGCTACCCTGACATCATCTAGCACGGCCAGGCAGCAGGTACATCAGTAGCTGCTGAGACTAGCATAATACATCCTGCTTTTTGGCTCCCCAGGGCTGCTCACTCTTGCTAGGCTCTCAAGACTGGATGCTTCAGGGCATAACGTGGGCAGAATGTTCTTCTAATGTACTAATATTCATGTACTATAGTTATCTTACAGGATATGGTGATTCTTAAATTTAGGAAAGTATGTTTTTCTCCATCTTCCAAAACTATTGACTCCCACTAGAATGTAATGTTAAAACTGCGCTGACCTGCTTCATTCTGTGCAAAGGAAGAGGCATTTTCACTTGTAGATCATTTTTGTGGGCCAAATTTGACCATAAAAGGCACGAAATGTACTAGAGAGCCAATACAGCTAATATTGACAATGTGAGCTAATATAACCGATTTGCGTATCAGTGGACTAAATTAAAAGAATTCTTTGATTCCATTCTGGTAAGTACTACCTTCTGAAGAGACTTGTATTACCATATCTCCTCTCTGTTTCTCACCTGCATGAGACCCATGAGTCTTTTTGGGAATATCATCTCATATGGATGGCACCTTAAAGCACCAAATATTTGAGGGGCTATAGGAAGCAGTGCAGTTCCTGTCATTTGAGTCTTCTATATAAATATTTGAGAGAGAGCCAGTCAAGCTCTAAATAGCCAGTGTGATTCAATCTTGGGAACAACCCACTTAAAGAACTGGTAGAATGCATTCCTTACTCTCATTGCACCTGTAAGAGAACTGCAGATCTGTTGCTGAAATTGGTTGAGACAAGCAAGTCCTTTCTGGCTGAAGGAGAGAGAGAGTAAGAGTGAAAGGCCCTAACTAAATCTTCTTGGCCATTTTCTTTTGTTCTGTGTTATTTACTGCCATGTCTGTTTTGGCAGCAGTCTCCTATCTTGCAGATTGTTGTATCAATTAGCACTTGGATATGGGCTCTGTCATACTAAAGAGTGTACTAAAATAAACAACTCTCTGATTCTCTTGGAAATGCTTTCCAGTTGAGGGGACTAACCTGCAACTTGAACCTGATCAATCTTTCTTTTAGACTTCTGTTCCTTAATGCGTTGTTTTCTAACTGCAGTAGCCTTAAAAATTATCTAACCACAGAAGAATGGTTTGTGTTCAAAACTTGCTCTGTGTGTGCATAGGTATATAATGTATGTAAAATTAAGGTATAAAAATCCTTGAAACCTGAAATGGCAGTAATACTGTTGCATGCTGGAAAGTGTGAATGACAGGATACTCGGACCATAGTTTTTGTGTTGTGTTGTATTTCTCTCCCCTGTCCCCTCCCAATGCCATGCTTTACAGAAGCATTTTCTAGATTCAGATGTTCCGGGTGGCCTTTACCTATAGGACTTGCACCTCTGACTTCTGCTTAATATCCTGCAAACTTACTGGGAGGAAAACTAGTTAAAAAAATCTTTAAAAAGGAAAATTGTCAGAGTAGAGTACCACTTAAGCTATTCTACGTTGGTTTAAGAATAGTAGACAGATTTCTAGAGGCATTTCCTTACCTGATTTGACTGGTTAGTAGTCTCCTGGAACATTTTGTTCTTGTGGATGTCTTCCAAGCATTATTTCAGATGCACTGAGGAAGAGTGGGAACTTCCCTTTCTGCTGTTTTTCTGGAAAACTTGTTACTCACCATAAACAATATGGGTTTTGTAGGCTCCATGAATTAGTAGCAGTCCAAATTTAGCTTTGTATGTGTTTCTAAATGGTTCACTTTGACGTGAGTACGATTGGTAAAATGCGCACGATAAAACTAACAGAAATGGTAATATGGCCGTATAACAAAATGGTGCAGTGTCTTGTCTGATGACTGATTTCTGGTATTTCTGCTACCCCAAAGGTAAGTTGTGGCTTTTTTAATCAGTCTTACATGCTGAACAGTGATTTGAACTGATCAGTGCAGAAGACAAGATAGAAATTTTGTAATCTGCAGAAAAAGAGAGACAGAAACAATGACCTACGTCCTGTGACTGCAGAGCTGATTATGGGAGTAGGCTGGAGTGGCAGTTCAAGCAAAAAAGTTTGCAAAGCCAAGGCCCTCAAGTATCAAATTGCTCAAATCAAACTTGCAGCAGGACAATTACCTACAGCATCACAGCAGGACAATGACTAGTAAGGTAGGAAACACCTTCTCTTACACTTGTGTGGAACATGGCAAGATGCAGCCCTTGTGGAGCTCTAAGGCTCAAGCAAATTGGTGGATTTGTTAGCAAAAACTGGTTATTGCAGGGTTACTTTCATGATACTGAATGCTTTGGTTCCTACAGCATAGTTTTGGATGTTTATTTACATTTAGCTTATAGCTGTGTTCTTACTGAAACTTGGTTCACTTCGATTAGTTCTCTCCAACATGTACTACCGTGGCGTATTTTTAGTGAGCACAAAATGGTGGTTATTTTCCTGACTGAGTTGCCTTTGGAAGCTGATCTGATCAGGATTCCTTTTTGTTGCATTTCTTGGTGTATTGTCCCAAAGAACATTTGGTGTTAATAAAAAAAGTAGCTCAGAATGGAAATTG